ACAGCTGTCATTATCGCGAACGATTTCTTCGATTTCAGAATCGCGCAATAAAATCGTCTGCGATTTTTTTGCGCAAGTTGTCAGTGAACTACGGCTCTGTGTAGTAAATGGTGCTCCATCTGAAAGCATGTGATGATGATTTCCTGCGGATTACCCTTTACTAACAAAATGCGCATGACAATCGCATTCGATTAATAAAGGTGCTGACGACTGATGCTTGAGAGACACAAACTTTAATCACATCTCTGATTTTCCTGTTTATTCAGGACTTTTCTGTTTTTACACAGTCTCTTTCACCTAGAGATCATACTATAGAGACTGTGTCTTCCCCAAATCACTGATTCTTGAGAAGTGGGACAAAACAGGGTGCAGTATTGAAAAATAAAACCTTGTGCTCAGACAAATTAAACTACATTAATGTAACTTCATTCATTCATCATTCATTAATCTTACATGTATTAATGTGCTACTTGAGCTATGCTCTGATTCAACCTCCCAACTTTTCTTTTATCAAAATATGTTTTGTTTTTTTACCTTGGACTGTGTAATATAGTCAGAACAGTATGTGTCTGCTGTGCATCTGCTATAGTAACATGGTAACTTTTAAAAACAGTTATATGAACAAATAAATCAATTAGTTGTTACATCTATCCATTTACATTCACCAGGATCTTAATATTCGCATTTAAACATCATATGATACCCCTAAACCACACAAATATGATGACTTCATGTTGAATGTCAACTCGGTCATTGGGTAATTTTGAAACCTTACGAAACACACGTGTCCTTGAAAAACAAAAAACAACTTGCTTTCATGAGATATTATTACATCTTGCTTTTAATAAAAACAAGCTCTTTTAAAAACATATAAGCTCAAGAGAATCATGTGTGATTGGTTATAATGCTCAACGCTGCAGACCGCAGAATCCTCTCACAACACTCAAAAAGAAATCTGATGTAATGTAATAAAGCAAACCTACTATAAATTAAATGCCGCAATCGACACTTTTCACTTTCGCTTTTTTTGATGAAATCAAATGTATTCCTGTGGATTTGTTCACAGACAGCACACACGGTGTTCAGCTAATAAAGATCCTCAGCGCAGGCCAACAGCAGAATTGGCAGATTTAGCTTCAATTGCCTGAAGGTCTTTATGTTCTTCCTGTTCTTAAATTTCCAGGTACTAACGAGAAACTGCTTCAGACGATTCAGTGCGTGCAGGGAACTGAACAAATCATTCAAAGTGATTCGTGAACAAATGCACACCGTTTTGCAGGCTTCTTTGTTCAAGACCTTGAACAGAATCGACTCAAAAGAGAGATTCATTCGTGAATGGGGCATCGTTCATGACCCAGATAAAAGAGCACACTTGGAATAAATTATGTTTGATGAGGATTTGTTGAGGACACAGCATCAGATCTGAAAGTGCTGGATCTGAAGATGATCTACTTACCGTGAATGTTTTTTGTATGACTGTGTAAAGCAACTGAATTATTGAAACACTTCCCACATGCAGTGCAGCTATACAGTTTCTCTCCAGTGTGGATCCTCTCGTGTGTTTTCTGATGTATTGACTGACTGAATCTCTTGTCACAGTGTGAACACTTGTAAGGTTTCTCTCCAGTGTGAATCCTCTTGTGCAGTTTTAAATGTGCAGCTGTAGTAAAAGTCTTTACACACTCAAAGCACATGTACTCTCTCACAGCAG